GGGGTTCCCCCCACTCCACATTTCTAAGCAATTCCCCCCCCCTTTTTTAACTTTTTAAAAATGTTATTTATTTTTGAGAGAGACAGAGCACAAATGGGGCAGGTGCAGAGAGAGAGGGAGACACAGAATCTGAAGCAGGCTCCAGGCTCTGAGCTGTCAGCACAGGGCCTGACGCGGGGCTCTAACTCACAAACCACGAGATCATGACCTGAGCTGAAATCAAGAGTGGGCCACTTAACTGACTGAGCCACCCAGGTGCCCCATTCCCCTTGTTTTTTTATTCAAGTGTGATTAACTTGCGTATTAGTTTCAGGGGTACAATATAAGAATTCAACAATTCAGTACATTTCTCAGTGCTCAAGATAAATATACTCTTAATCCCCTTTATCTATTTCACCCATCCCTGACCCATTGAACTTGTAGCAACCATCAGTTTGTTCTCTGTATTTAAGAGTCTATTTTTTATTTTGGCTCTTTTTTTCCTTGTTTGTTTTGTTTCTTAAACTCCATATATGAGTGGAATCATATGGTATTTGTTGTTCTCTCCCTGACTTATTTCACTTAGCATTATTGCCCTTTAAGAGTCCATCCATGTTGTTGCAGATGGCAAGATATCACTTAAATTTTTTTCTTTGATTTCTCCCTGGCCCATTGGTTGCTTGTAGTCAACATTTTAAAATGAAGTGGATAAGGATTAACTACAATTAGAATAATTTTTGCTATTTTGTTAAAATAAGAGTTAAACTATTACACTGAATAATGTATAGAGAAGTCACACAAAATATTTTTTCTATAGTTTAGATCTAGTGTAATTTAAACATTTTGCTAATCTGGAAAACATTCCAGTTACATTGAAAAGAATCACATCACTAGCCTTATAAGCAGATTATGGAAGCTATTTTCTTTTGGCTGAATATTTTAGAATTTTATCTGATGATGTAACTAAAATTAAGTAGTTATGACATATGGTATGGTTTTAAATTCTCTGAAAACAAAGTTATAATCTTTAATAGCTCACATTTATTGTGTTCTTACTGTGTGTTGGTACTTAACCTGAACACTGTATATTCTCTCTTACCTAATTCCTCCAACAATCCTAAGAGGTAAATACTGCTTTTATCTTCATTTAACTGATGAGAAAATTGAGTTTCAGAAAATATTTTATTCAAGTCAGCCCAAGAGCTGGTAAGCAGTAAATCCAAAATTAATACCCAGGTAGCCCACCTTCAGATGTTATATTATTAAGCAAAGTGCTGTGACACATCCCGAGGTTGTGCTGTCATGGTCTTCATCTTGGTAGATGAATGAATGAATTCCAACACCATGTATTTTATGGTATGATTTGATACGTATGATATGCAAGAAAATTATTAAACATTTTCATGTGCTTTGTAAAACACCTAATTATTTATTATAGATAAATGGATTCTATTAGTTTTCTTTAAGAAAAAGCAACTGTCAAAGGGAATTCTGAAATGACCTTTAGTTATTGAGTAATTGAAAATATAGGAACTCATTAAAATCATTTGTTTTTATTAATCTTTGTTTAATAAACAAAGTTGGGAGAAATAAGTGCTCGTTAATGGGTTTCTAAGTTCTATTATTTGAGAAAATGACTGAAAGTTAAAGGGAAACTTGGAGATCTTATCCGTTTCTTATAATAGTAATTATAGCAACAAATAGCAGCTGGCATTTGTGCCAGTTATGTACTGGGCACTCCTCTAAATACTCTATGTATTATTACATATTATTTAATCCTTACAAGAACAACAATGAAGCAGGCAAAATTATCCTCACTGTACATTTTTCAGATTTTTTAAGAATGATTTTAAGTACTGGATTGATTTATTGAAACAGTTACAGTGGTTTTTATTTGTTCTTGTCTTTTAGTAACAACTAACAAATGCATAATTGCAGCAAATATATTCATATTACTCCTTATTGATGCTTTTTACTGTGCTGTCTCCGTTACCACACAGCTGGCCCTTTTTTCATTCAATATACAGTGACCAGAGGCCTCCTCATTTTTTTTTCTTGCTGTTACATACTGACCCTTATTTGATACACCCTACCTTTCAACTCCAATTTTTTTCCTTGCTAAAGTTCAGTTTGTTCCAAGTATTATAATCACTTCCTTTTTCATGTCACTGCCAAGTTCTCCATTCAGTGTCGCATGTTTCCTGTTCATATAAAATCCTTAACTGAGGAATTAGTTTTTTCTTATTCTGTGTCTGTCAGTTTTTGCATGTGAATCAACAGGAATGTCTTCTAAACCCATCTTATATATATTCACTACATGTATGTAGCAGTTTAATAGTTGCTGTTAGTTTTAGGGGTTGTATATGTCTGTGCACAAGAGATTAAAAGAAGTTATTAGCCTTCTACATTTAAAAAAATATTGAAATCTGTCTTTTATCTTAGTAAGAAAAATTTTATTATATTTCTTTCTTCACTGTTTTTTTTCTTACAATTTTTTAGGTTTTATGGCAATTGGATATATTCCGAAGAAGCTTACGGGTTCTAACTGGACATGTTTGTCAGGGAGATGCCTGTATATTTTGTGCATTGAAGGTAACCTTTTAAAATTTAATTTTATTTGATAGCTTGTTTGGTTTAGTTGACAGATTTGGTTAGTTTATTTGAAATTAAAGTTCATTGTCAAGATGACTTAGAGCTTTGAAGGTGAATTCTTAAAATATGATTTATTCAGCTTTATGGTCCCCCCCTTTTATGGAAGAACAGTGAAAATTAATATTCTAAATAGTATAAAATATTAGGAATGTTATATTTTTCACTATTTTGAAACAATTCTTTATTCATTTTATAAAACGTTTGAGCTACTACTGAATTTTGTGCACCTCTAGTTACTGAGGATACAGCAATGAACAATCTGATAAAGCGTCTGACCTCATGGAGCTTATATATTCTTGTAGGGCAGGGGAAAATAAGTAAGCAAAATATAAAGTATGTTAGGTGGTAATAATTAAAAAAGGAGGGGAAGTAAGTCAGGGAAAGAGAGTAGAGAGTGTTAAGTAGCCAGGAAAGCCTCACTGAGAAAGTTTAAACTATAACCTGGAAGAGGGGACGGAATGGAATATTCCAGGCAAGTAGGGAAACAGTAACTGGAAAGGTCCTAAGGTGAGTATGTGTGACACATTCAAGGTAATCTGGGTGGCGGAAGCTTTCTGAGCAAGGGAGAGAATGATAGGAGGGGAGCTCAGAAGTAAGGTGAATTTTCGTGGCTTTTTAAAACATATCTGCAGATTCTTCTGCACTCTTCCTATCAAAAGGTGGAGTCTAATTCTTTGAATATGGGCTGGCCTTAAGGATTCATCCCCATCAAATAGAATGTAGCAGAAATGATGCTGCAGACATTTGAGATTAGATTAGATTAGATTAGAAAAGCTGGTAAAGTTTCTATCTGGCTCTGTCTGTTGGGGTGTCATTCTTGGGAGTGAGCCCCCATGCTGCCTGAAAGCCAAGCTGGCCACAGCTGTATCAGAAGTCCCAAGCTGATTGGTAGTGCCAACAGCCACCATCAACTGCTCTATGTAATGAGCAACCTTCAGATGATTCTGGGTTCCAGCATTCAAACTGTCCTAGATAACTCCCAGTGGAGCAGAATCGAGCTGTTCTCACCCAAATTGATGATTTGTGATCAAAATAAATGTTATTTGTAGTATCTACATTTTGTGGTGGTTTGCTACGGAGCAATAAATAACTGGAACAGGAGTCCATATTGTGTACGTCCTTCTAGACCTTTGTGAGAACCTTGGCTTTCCTCTTGAGCGATTTAGGAAGTCTCAGGATTGTTTTGAGTGGAAGAGTGATATAATCTGTTTTAATTAGATGTAATATTTCAACTGGATCTGTTTGGCTACTTGGATGAGAATAGATGGAAGAGAGACAAAGACAGAAACAGGAAATCATGTATATAGTAGCATTTCATTTATGTCATTGAGATTTTTACCTAAAAATTACTAAGATTATTATTAAGATTTTATTAACGTGTTTCAGAGATAAACATTTCATTCTTTTACATTCTTGAATATTTTTACACACACATACATACAAGAAAATAAAAAGCGATTTTTATGCTTTATTTTGATTTATATTCCTGAATATAAATCACCAAAGAAGGCAATTTTACACTCTCTTTTTTAGAACATGGCAAAATAGGTTTATTGTTAGGGGATGAAGAATTACCTTAGATCAAATTACAATACCGCATTTTATTTACACCACAGTAAATTTTGGATATTTTGTCCAGTTATAAACACTAGTATAATTAAAATGTCTAGCCTAAATCTTTCATAGCCTTACATAATCACTTACCTGCCTCCAAAACTTACTCCCTGTCTCACGTACTGCACTTTAGCCAAACTGGCTACCTCCTTCCAATTTCTCAGAGCTGGCTTCCATCTGAGTGTTTTCATTGTTACTCCTTTTGTCTAGAATGCTTTTCTTCTAGATGTTTTTGTAGCTTACACTCTTCTTTTTAAATCTTTTTTTAAATGTTTTCATTTATTTTTGAGAGAGAGCATGAATGGGGGAGGGACAGAGGATCTGAAGCAGGCTCCACACTGACAGCAGCGAGCCTGTGTGGAGCTCGAACTCATGAACCGTAAGATCACGACCCGAGCCAAAGTCGGATGCTCAACTGACTGAGCCACCCAGACGCCCCCTGTCTTATTTCTTTTATGCCAGTCCTCAAATGAGGACATCAGTGAGGCCCTCCCTGAGTACCCTAGGTAATAATTAACCTCCCTTTTCTCAGCTTCCCTATTTCTATTATAATACTTTATTTTTCTCTCTTCTATTTTATGTCTTTATTTTTCTCTATTGTGTCTATCACATTCCAACATATAATTAGTTACTTGCCTTCCCCTTACTGCAACCAGAATGTATACTCCACGAAGGCAGTGTTTTTGTCTGTTTTCTAGTGAAGATGCCTCACATATACTAGGCAGTCAAAAAACAGATGACAAATAAATGACACTCTTGTGTAGGATTAATATCTTAAACATTACCTTGAAAAGTTTATTACCTACATAAGAAATGATATCTAAAATATTTTTGCTTTTTCATATTTGTAATTATACCTAAAAATTATAGTTCTAGATATCTAATATCATTTGGCATCTTTATTTTTCAATTTCTTATTTATTTATAAATTAGATTTTTCTTAACAGAAGTGGAACAGGTTTTTGAAATATCTTCCTAGCCTATCAGATGTTGATCTGGAAAAAAAAAATGATTTTGAGGTGACATACCCCTTGAGCTAATTATTTAAGAACTTAATATGACCAATTCTTATTTGGTGGGGTTGTCACTGAAAACCTTTTTCCCCCCACTTTCTCTCATCTAAAGTGATTGTCATAAAATTGGAACTTATTAAATAGTTTTTCTTCCTTAAATTCAATAAGGAAAATGGAAAACCAGATTAATACCTAAATCATGTTTTTGTGAGTGTTTCCACCGTTTTTTAGGCTTAGCTTAGAAATAATGCTTCAAGTGAGGAAAACTGATGATTTGAAAATTAAGACATTTTTCAAAAAATTAAAAGTCATCATCTTTTGTCTGACTTCATACAAATTGTACAGTGTCAGTTTTTATTTTTTATTTATTTATTTATTTATTTTTTTTAAATTTTTTTTTCAACGTTTATTTATTTTTTTTTGGGACAGAGAGAGACAGAGCATGAACGGGGGAGGGGCAGAGAGAGAGGGAGACACAGAATCGGAAACAGGCTCCAGGCTCTGAGCCATCAGCCCAGAGCCCGACGCGGGGCTCGAACTCTTGGACCGCGAGATCGTGACCTGGCTGAAGTCGGACGCTTAACCGACTGCGCCACCCAGGCGCCCCCAGTGTCAGTTTTTAAAGACAATTTTAATTAGTGGGAAGTTGTCATCCCATTGAACTTACGTAATTTTTGTTTCTTTTTAAACCAGCATTTGTCATTTTCTGAGGTTTATTTATTTTTGGTTAACATAATTTTAATTCCTATAGCATACTTTTAGATTTATAGCAACTTAGAACTTTTCCTTAAACAACTTGGATCAGAATTAGCTGAGGAACAGTTTAAAAATTGCCCTGACTTCTGACTTCAGCATACTCAATCAGAATCTCTGAGGATGGGAACTGAGAACTCATTTAGTTCTGTGCACACTGACACTTAATTTAGAGACTGGGGCAACCATTTCTATACATTGTTGATAGAAATAAATTTTGTATGGAATTTTAGAGCAAAAGACTATATCCATTTCTAGGTATAGTGTGAGTTTCACTCTGTTATAGTGAAATTACTGAAGTGTTTCTTTAGTTGTTGGCCTTAAGCTTACTGATGTACTTGTTGATCCCCAGACAATATTTGCACAGTTTCAACATAGTCGAGAAAAAGCACTTCCTTCGGATAATATAAGACATGCTCTAGCAGAAAGCTTCAAAGATGAGCAGCGATTTCAGCTGGGCCTTATGGATGATGCTGCAGAGTGCTTTGTAAGTATTTTTGATAATCCCTCAATCAGGATACTAGCTTGTTTTCCTTAAGTGATGTGAATTTTGAGAGGAATGAAACATAAATTTATAACAATAGAAAGGAATCCATACTGCTCAGTGCATCCTTGTCTTACCTGCCCTTCAAAACTCTGTGTGTTTCATGACTTTTGGTTTTGATTTGACATTTATATGTTATTATCATTTTTTTAATGAGTATCTTCACTATTTTCTCAGACAGGTGGAAAGCTCTTTGACTAATGCACTGCTTAACACACTTTCCATGTTGATTAAAGTGTGTCCGAAACAGCATACACAGTCCTAAAATATACTTTTCATAATTCTCATGTTCATAATAGATCCATTATTTAAAATATAAATATATTTAGGGGCGCCTGGGTGGCGCAGTCGGTTAAGCGTCCGACTTCAGCCAGGTCACGATCTCGCGGTCCGTGAGTTCGAGCCCCGCGTCGGGCTCTGGGCTGATGGCTCAGAGCCTGGAGCCTATTTCCGATTCTGTGTCTCCCTCTCTCTCTCTGCCCGTCCCCCGTTCATGCTCTGTCTCTCTCTGTCCCAAAAATAAATAAACGTTGGAAAAAAAAAATTAAAAAAAAAATATAAATATATTTTGTACAATACCAAATTTTATAGTTTATTTTCACTTAAGTGAAATGTCCTAGTACATGGTTTGATAATTCATAGAATATCTAGAAATTTAGGCTTAAATAATTGAATGGTTTTAAATTTCCTGGGGCAGAGGAGGCAGATGTTTAGCTAATTAAAAGAATCCATTGGAGGTGTCTGGATGGCTCAGTTGGTTAAACATCCGACTTCAGCTCAGGTCATGATCTCGCGATTTGTGGGTTCGAGCCCCAAGTCAGACTTTTCTGACAGCTCAGAGCCAGGAGCCTGCTTCAGATTCTTTGTCTCCCTTTCTCTCTGCCCCTCCCCTGCTCGTGCTTTGTCTCCCTCTGTCTCTCAATATTAACATTAAATAAAAATAAAGAATCCATTCGATAGGCTTTTGCTAAAAAGGATTGTTAAAGAAATAAATATTCCTTATTGATCTGTATTACAAATTTGAAATTTAATATGAAATTTGTTTGCAGAGCAGATTTCTTGCGTTAGGATGTTAGTGTAGGTATTGCAAGCCTTTGTCATTGCTATTTGAATGTGAGTTATACAGACTATTAAAATATCCCAAGTAGGATTTTTAAAAGATCAACTGTTTTTTTCAATGTGAGAATGCTGCAAATATGGGAAACTTATGTTTTCTATTAAATTCTACATGTCAGCCACCATGAATTGATTTTTAAAGGGTATTAAAGATATTTATTAAATTAATGTTTCTTTTATTTAATTTTTTAAAAAAGCTAATACTACAAAAGGTGAATAACTGAACGGTATTTGAAGGGTTGATTAAAGAGGAAAGCTGAAAAGCTGACAATATATATGGTGCTGTTAAATTTAACACTTTGGAAAATCCTAAAAAGATTTTTAAATTTATAAAGTTAAAAATAGTTGTATTATGAAGTATCTTCTGTAAGATTCACAAGTCATTTGTCTTTTAATTTTTAAATTAGGAAAATATATTGGAGAGGATTCATTTTCATATAGTGCCAAGCAGAGATGCAGACATGTGTACCTCTAAATCTTGTATCACTCACCAGAAGTTTGCCATGACTCTGTATGAACAGGTGAGATGGCTTAACCACTTTATTAGATATTGTATTTGTTATATTTATTTACATTCATTTGTACTTTGGTATAATATATAACATATATAAATATATGTAATATATGTATTACATTTATGTTTTATGATTGATAAATTAAACATGTTTTTACCTGTAGTGTGTGTGTCGTAGCTGTGGAGCATCATCAGATCCTCTACCGTTTACAGAATTTGTGCGGTACATTTCTACAACAGCCCTATGGTAAGAACCTTACCAGAGATGTTAATAATACATTTAAGCACATTGAGCATTTATTTTATAAAACCATAACATATGTGAATATCTACTCTCTGTCTTAAACTTAAAAAATATGCTGCCATCAGAAGTACTAAGTGACGTCTGTCTCAGTTGGATGTTTCTGTTTTAGCCTAAAATGTATACTTAATGAAATGTACCAAATATTAGTCAAAATTTGTATCTATTTATATTTATACCAAGTTTTTGGAATTGTGAAGCAGAGTTTAAAATGACAAGCTCAATGGTAAATGGAGCTGCACATTATTTCTTCATTTTTGCTAAGGTGCTATCTTTGTAATGGCCCATCAGCTCCATATCCCATCATGGTGATGGAAACTAGGGTAAGCAGAAAGGGGGGGTGGGGGGATGGTGACATTAATTCTTCATTAGATTTATTGAGTTTAAAGCCTCAACATTAACCTGAAATAAAAATTTGCCTATGCTTGGCTGTCCCCTCCCTCCCTGTGCATGAAACATTACTAATTAGGGATCCATATGATCCCTAGACTTTACATAAGAATTGTTTGAACATTTTCTAACAGGTATTTGAGAATATAAATATTTGATATATGGTAAACATTGAATAAATGTTTACAGGTATTTTAATACAAAAAAATAAAGCATGGATCAATAATTATTAATCAGAATAAATCAGTTCAACAGTTAGTTACTAAATGCTATTGGGGCGCCTGGGTGGCTCAGTCGGTTGAGCATACAACTTTGGCTCAGATCATGATCTCCCAGTTCGTGAGTTCGAGCCCTGTGTCGGGCTCTGTGCTGACAGCTCAGAGCCTGAAGCCTGCTTCAGATTCTGTGTCTCCCTCCCTCTCTGCCCCTCCCCTACTCACACTCTGTCTCTCTCTCAAAAATAAATAAACATTAAAAAAATTTTTTAAGGGGCACCTGGGTGGCTCAGTTGGTTAAGCGTCCAACTTCGGCTCAGGTCATGATCTCACAGTCTGTGAGTTCAAGCCCCGCATCAGGCTCTGTGCTGACAGCTCGGAGCCTGGAGCCTGTTTCAAATTCTGTGTCTCCCTCTCTCTCTGACCCTCCCCTGTTCATGCTCTCTCTCCGTCTCAAAAATAAATAAACGTTAAAAAAAATTTTTTTTTTAATGCTATCAATATTTTAATCATTGTACAAAGTGAATATCAGGTGCTTATCTGTTTCATTATAATATTAAACTACCTGGGTTTTTTTTGATATAACACAATATTACTTAAAGACTATTGAATAATATCAATTTGGTTATTTTAGTGTGTTTAGTATCTCTCTTAGTATATAGAGTTGGGGATATTGGTTTAAGGAAACATTCCCTAAACTTCAGTCAATTATAGGTTCATTTTTTTCACTTTGTATGAAAAGTAGGATGGTGTCTGAACAAGGATAGGCCACAAATTAAAAACTATAAAACTTTAAGTCTATTTTGAAACTCTTATATAATGACAGTGCTCTGAGGCAGTATCTTATGTAACAGAGTTAGAGCTCCATCAGTCTCTGTGGTCTACACCACAAATTGCAAGAAACCAGACTTTAAATGGTAATTATGGTTGACCCTTCGGTAACACAGGTTTGAACTGCACAGGTCCACTTAGATGGAGATTTTTCAATAAATGTACGTGCAGTACTGTAAATGTATTACATCTTCCTTATGATTTTCTTAAGAACATTTACTTTTTTCTAGCTTTTTTGTAAGAATACAGTATATACTACATATAACATAAAATATGTGTTAATCAGCTGTTACTGGTAAGGCTTCCGGCCAACAGTAGGCTATTAGTAGTTAAGTTGGGAGCAGGTCAGAGGTTAGTATGCGGATTTTGGACTGCATGAAGGTTAGCGCCCCTTACCTCCATGTTATTTAAGGTTTAACTGTAGTCACTTTCTTTTCATTGGTAATAAGTATTGAATACCAGTTACTGAATTCCAGGCTTAACAAAAATTGTCATTTTAAATGTTAACAAAAACACTATTTTAAATGTACAATTTGAATGAGCTTGTCAGATTTAGTGCATTTTAATACATTTATGAAGTGCTTTAGAAGAATGGGTGCTCTTAGTTGTTACTGAATATTGTACATTATTTAAATCATGAAACTGTAAAGTATATCCAACTCTAGGACAGTTCACATTACTAAGCAGAACCAGAACATCTAGAATGGAAACTAGTAAGGATATTTGAGGTTACATTACATTTCTTTTTGGAAATATTTAAATGGCTGTTTAAAGATACTTAATATTTTGGTATATAAAAATTAGATTCTAAGAGAGACTACACAAAAAGTGGCATAGATATCCTGCCTAGGTTCTAATGAAATGGTCAGCACTCATAAGGCACAAACCTGACCTAACTAGTTTTGGTTTTGACTTCTGCATTAATCAGCAAAGGGCCCTTCTATTAGCTGAAAATGATAACTTCGTTTCTGAGAATTTGAGGCCAGAGAGGGAGCCTTTCCCACAATTTGTTGTTCTTGTTAGGTCAAAGTTTAAACTCAAGTCCCTACTTGTTAAACAATAATGTAAAAGAAACATTTTACTTAAAACTTGGAGCATCTTATTATCTTGTTCATGTAGTTCCAGACCATGTAATAAATGTTTTTCATCATGCACCTGCCAAATTCCATAATTTTTCACTTTATGGAAATTTACTTTATGGTTAATTTTTCAGACAAAACCTGTCTTAAACAGAAAAAATGATCATACCCATATTGAGAACTTAATTTCTTTTCATGCATAGTTTGTTAGATCTTTTTAAAGTTCATAGGACACATTTGGGACTGCTTCTTTCTTTTGTAGCAATGAAGTGGAAAGAATGATGGAAAGGCATGAACGTTTTAAGCCTGAAATGTTTGCAGAGTTGCTACAAGCAGCAAATACAACTGATGACTATAGGAAATGTCCTGTAAGTATAATTTGGAGAAAACTAGTATGCTTATATGTTTGCAAACTTGAAAATAAACATTCAGAAATTACCATGTAAATAGTAATTCTACATGGAATTAATTTTAAGAGTTAATTTTTCAGGGGCACCTAGGTGGCTCAGTTGGTTAAGCGCCTGACTCTTGATTTTGGCTCAGGTCATTATCTCATTGTTGTGGGATCAAGCCGCACATTGGGCTCTGTGCTGATGGAGTGGAGCCTGATGGGGACTCTCTCTCCCTTCACTCTTTGCCCCTCTCCACCCCTGTCCCCAAAATAAATAAATAAACGTTTTTTAAAATGTTATTTTTTCAGTGTTATTTTAGGCAACTCTTTATACCATGTGAGCTATTTATTTAAGCACTATTAAAAACTCTTTGTGAAGGATTTAGTGTATGCTGATTAATTTTTTTAAGTTCTGACATCTGTCATTTGACTAAAGAGAAAGTTAGTTTCTTTTTTTCCCTGTGCCTGGGTGGCTCAGTCAGTTAAGTGTCCGACTTCGGCTCAGGTCATGATCTCGCAGTTTGTGGGTTTGAGCCCTGCGTCAGGCTCTGTGCTGACAACTCAGAGCCTGGAGCCTGCTTCGGATTCTGTGTCTCGCTGTCTCTGCCCCTCCCACTGTTCATGCTCTGTCTCTGTCTCTGTCTCTCTCTCTCAAAGATAAACATTAAAAAAAAAAAATTAAACATTACAAGTGGCATCATTCTTTTTTTTAATGTAATATTACTTCAAGTGTTTTAGGGCTCATTTTTTTAGATTGATTTCTTGTTTTAAAATTACAAAGATACCAAAGTACTTTGGTTTAAAATAAACTTCCTGTTTAATCAATAATTAAGACAAATAGTTTGATAAAAGTCCATTTTAGTATGCTGAAAAAATAGATTTCTGATGTATGTAAAGATTGTTAATGTATAGTACAAACTGTCAGGCATCACCTATGGTATATATGTTTCAGTAATTTCAAAATTTGCCTTTTGTGTTTTTCTTTAGAGTAACTGTGGCCAAAAAATAAAAATTCGCCGTGTTTTAATGAATTGCCCAGAAATTGTTACAATTGGTTTAGTCTGGGATTCTGAGCATTCTGACTTGACTGAAGATGTTGTTCGGAATCTAGCAACACATCTTTATCTTCCTGGGGTATCTCAACTGTTTTCATTCACTTCCTTTTTGTTTTTAAATTCTTTTAAAACATACTCATATATTATAATATACTTTGTTTTTCAGAATTAAATTATCTTTCTAAAGGAAAGATGTAGTGCTGATAAAGTTCATCAAATCAGGCTAAGTGGAATGCCTTTCTTGCGTAGACTAGGAACGGCTTTTAGTTATAAACAATCTTGTGTTCTAATTTGATATCACTCTACAATGGTGATATTGATGATAAATATGTGTGTGTGTAGGGTAATGACCAATATAAATATTAACCTAGAAAGGTTTAAGATACAAAATTCATCTATAGCACTGATCTCTTAATATGCATATTAACATCTTAATATATTTTGAATTGGTTTATATCACCATTAATCTTTTAGATAATTATCTTTTATAAATATGTTAATGTTTGTTCAAATAGGTGATTCAGTAAAAAATTATTAGGAATTGTGTAATTTATCCCCCATTTCCAGTTTATGTATATAAAGTGTCAGTTCTGTGTTATTGGAGACAATGTGTTACTGAACTAAACTGTAGTGATTTTATTGGACTAATAATATTAATAGTTATAGTTAATAGTAATTAATAGTTAATAGTAATTCTGTTCAGTACAATGTCAGTGTACCTTCTGTACTAATATAATAGTGGATTGGGGAAGCTTATATAAGAAGTATTTTTCATAGCTAGTCTAATATATGACTCACCAAATTATTATTCCTCATTTTTAAAAAGATACAGTATTAAATTACATGTTATTATTTTTTTAAACAGCTTTTTTATAGGGTTACTGATGAAAATGCCAAAAATAGTGAACTTCACCTCGTTGGTATGATCTGCTACACCAGCCGACATTATTGTGCCTTTGCTTTTCATACCAAGAGTTCCAAGTGGGTATTTTTTGATGATGCAACCGTGAAAGAGGTAAGTGATATTTTCACTAACTGGGATAATTGTTGTGATTTTTACTTTTTAGGAATAAATGAAGATAATGATATATACAATGTATATCACATAATATAATTATATGAAGTAATGATTGTATGTAAACACTTATTACAAAATTATTATTATATAAAATAATAAATGACCTTTATAATAGCATTGTTAACTTCATACTTTTGTTAATTTTTGAAGCCTGGTTTATTTTAAGGCCATCTTTTAAACCAGTCTATTTCCAGAATAATAAAAATGTGACTAATAAATGTTAGAATGCAAATACACAACTGTCAGTGATCCATATGTATTCCCTTTTGTCTGATGCATAGTTGCTCTGTGTATTTCTTTGTGAATGATTCACAATTGCTTTGTATAATTAGTGATGAAAATTTGCTTGTTTTTTTAATTATTAGGACTCCCTTTTCAAACTTCGTGGTATTCAGAATTAGATATGCCTACTATTATCTTTGGTGAATTATTTATTCAAACATTATAATATCTAGCAAACTAGTGAATAATAATTTATAATAAGAAGTATGTATCAGAATCACCCTTGGAGCTTTTGAAAAAACATACATGCCTGGATTCTTAAATTCTTGATTCAGTAGTATAGAGGCAGGTATCTTAATTTTTTTACAAGTTCTACAGGAGATTCAGATTTTGCCACATTTGAAAACTTGATCTTGTCCATACTGTTTCTAGGCTTATGGGCTTTGAGAATCCTATTATTATGCAGTAAATGGACTTAAAAATGTAAGTTATTTCATTGTTATAGCGAATGGTGTACGGTTCCATATGCTTTCATTTTAATATATAACAAAGGGCCATTTATCAGCATTATGAATTACTAAGTTAATAGAAGCTCATATATTTAGTATGTAGTGACTTTCTGTCTCTTTCTATGAACAATGAACTGCTATGGAAATTGCCCCTCTAGGGGCACCTGGGTGGCTCAGTTGGTTAAGCATCTGACTTGGGTTCAGGTCATGCTCTCACAGTTTGCGGTTCAAGCCCCCACGTTGGGCTCTGCACTGAGAACTCAGAACCTGGAGCCCGCTTCAGATTTTGTGTCTCCTTCTCTCTCTCTGTGTCTCTCTCTCTCTCTCTCTCTCTCTCTCTCTCTCTCCATCCCTCCCCTACTTGTGCATGTGCTCACTCGCGCTCTCTCTCTCAAAAATAAGTAAATAAGCTGGAAAAAAAGTGGAAATAGACCCTCCAGTATTAAAAATTAGAAAACCAAATAGATGAGACAACTTTTTAAGACATTAAGTAGTAGGCAGTTGAACAGAAAAAAGGAAAACAAACAAGACGAGCCCTACAATTATTCCTGCTTACTGCCTATAGATTATTTTTAGGTTGCAATTCAGGGAGGGGGACTCAAACAAAGCCTAGTAGTATCACTGAGTTGAGGAAACCAAAATTGGAATTCAGAGAGGCGAAGATGGCTAAAATTGCTGGACAGATTACCAGAAAAAAACACTGCACAGAGGGAAAGTGCTAGAGACTGTTAAAGGGGTCCCCTTTAATCTTTACCTGAATAGTGATCTGACATGTGTGGGGCAGATCTGCAAAAGATGGGGGGGGGGGAGAATTACTGGAAAACAGAAAGTCAGACAATTTTAAAAATTCATACATGGCTAGGACCAGTTTGCATCTACACCAGTAAGAGTAAAAAGATATTGTAATGCAGGGAGCATCAAGTAGAATCCTTAGAATAGTACCACCTGAATTATACCTAGACTGAATACTGCTCTGCACCTGACATAAAAAGCTTAAAATGAAGCCTTCAAAGGACAAAGATGATCCCACATAAGTTAACAAATGCCAGAATGAAGTCCCAGCACTTTTTAAAGGAACACAACAAAATTCACCCAAAAATATAAATTTCAATTAAATTTCAATATGCTATTTCAAGATAGCATTCAATAAAAAGTTACCAACTATGCAGAGAAGAAGAAAAATGCGACCCATACCCTGAAGGAATATTAATAAAAACGACCTGTTCCACCACTCCCGTTTCTTCCGATCACATGGTAAGGGGTGAGAAAGCAAGGTAAGGAAATGGAGCACACCTTCTCTTCTGTCAGGAACTTCATCAGCTTCACTATTCCTACCCTCAAAAAACAGGGTTCTGAATAATAACCAGGTGATCTCCAAGGTCAGAAAGACTCAAAGTGACAGAGATGGAAATAATCAGACAAGAGTGTGATAATTGCTGTGTCAGTATAGAGACATTGATTAGATACAGTCGATAAACATGGACCATAAAAATAAACAATAAATTGGATTTCATCAAAACCTTTACTCTTCAGTAAGATACTATTAGAATAAAAAGGCAAGACAGACTGGGACAAAATATTTGTCAAGCATATATTTAATAAAGATTATATCCAGAATATATAAAGTCTCTTAAAACTCAATAATTAAAAGATAAATCAATAGATTTATAAGATAGATTTAAAAGATAAACTCAATAATTAAAAGATAATAGGGGAAGATGGTGGAGTAGGAGGACCCTAAGCTCACCTTGTCCCATGGATATAACTAGATAATACTCACATCAGTATAAATAACCAGAAAACTACCCAAAGACTGGCAGAACAAACTCCACAACCAAAGATACAGAGGAGGCCACATTGAATAGGGGAGGAAGGGCAGAGACATGGAGGTGAGGAGAAGGGAGAGAAACAAACTATCCCCATAACATTTGGCTTTGAAAACGAAAAGGCCAAATTTCACGAGTTCTTACAACCAGTAGGACTTAGTACTAGCAAACTGAATCCAACAATATGTTAAAAATCATCCACGTGATAAAGTGGGATTTATTCCTGGGTTGCCAGGGTGGTTTAATAATCTCAAATCAATCAACCTGATACACCACATTAATAAAAGAAAGGATAAGAACCTCCATGATCATTTCAATAGATGCAGAAAAAGCATTCGACAAAGTACAATATACATTCATGATAAAAAGCCCTCAACAAAGTAGATTTAGAGGGAACAAACCTCAACATAATAAAGGCCATATATGAAAAACCCACAACTAACATCATACTCAATGGGAAAAAAACAGAGGTTTTCCTCTATGGTCAGCTTGTCTACTTTTGTGCCAGTACCATATTGTTTTGACCACTGCAGCTTGGTAATATAATTTGAACTCCAGAATTACGGTGCCTTCAGCTTTGCTTCTTTTTCAACGTTGCGTTGGCTATTCAGGGTCTTTTGTGGTTCCACATAAATTTTAGGATTGTTTGTCCTAGCTCTGTGAAAAATGCTGTCGGTTTTTTGATAGGGATTGCATTAAATGTCTAGACTGCTTTGGGCAGTCTAGACATTTAACAGTATTTGTTCTTCCAATCCATGAGCGTAGGATGTTTTTCCATTTCTTTGTGTCATCTTCAATTTCAGGTCTTTCGCCTCTTTGGTCAGGTTTATTCATAGGTATCTCATGTTTTTTGGTACAATTGTAAATAGGGTTGATTCCGATTTCTCTTTCTGTTGCTTCATTATTGGTGTATAGAAATGCAACAGATTTCTGTACATTGATTTTGTATCCTGCAACTTTACTGAATTTGTGTTCTGGCAATTTTTTGGTGGAGTCTTTGGGTTTTCTATGTAGAGTATCACGTCATCTGCAAATAGTGAAAGTTCTACTTCTTCATTGCTGATTTGGACGTTTTCTTCTTGGTGTCTTATTACTGTGGCTAGGATTTCCAGTACTATGTTAAATAGTAATGGTGAGAGTGGACATCCCTGTCTTGCAGACAAGTAGGTCAATGGAGCAGAATAGAAAACTCCAAAAGGAGTCCACAACTATGTGAGCAATTAATCTTCGACAAAGCAATAAAGAATATGCAATGGGAAATAGTGTCTTCAACAAATGGTATTTGGAAATTGGAACAACAACATGCAGAAGAATCAAACTGGACTACTTTTTTATACTATACACAAAATGGATTAAATGTGAGGCTTGAAAACAAAAATCACACAGGAGAACACCTGAAACTAATATTACACTGTATGTTAGTTAGCTAACTGGAATTTAAACACTTAAAAAAATTAATTACATAAACTAAAGCACACACACATACACAAAATATGCTCACAGTACACATGTGACTTGCCCAGCCTTTTACTTGTGATACTAATTCAGAAACAGAAGGACAGAAAAACAAAAAATAAGCACTCTCAGACAAAGCTTTGACGTGTAAAATTTAGCTTGAAGACTTCAGCATCCCTTTTCTTCACTTTTTCCCCAACCATGATGTGTGCCTATTCCTGAGAGCTCTTCTCCCCTATGACTCCAAAACTCTTGAGGCTTTGCTCCAGAAAGAATTTAACGGGTTTACTTGCAGGATTGGTTTTGTTTGTTTTTTGTTTTGTTTTTTGGCTCTATCAAAATATTTTTAGCAGCAAGGTCAAATAAAAGGAAAATTTGTGGTCTGGGGAGCCCTACAGAGAGCTCCTGAGGGTCACACAGTATTGTAGTTACTCACCTTATTTACCTTTAAAGAAAATCATGAGAAAAGTAAATCTGACCAAGGTGTCTTAATGTCAGCAGAGGAAGTGTATAGTACTGTACAAGGACTTAGGAGGAGGACTGAAGGGCTCATTTAGCTGTAAGTGACTCTGCAACCCACAGTGACTCCTGGGTCTTTGAGTGTATCCATTGCGTAGTGCCCTGATGGCTCATGGGAATGCATTAGGGGCAATCTGGAAGGCTGGAGTGATAAGGTGAGAAGAGGGCTCACAGTATCTTTTTTGCCCCACAGTTAGGAGAATCCTCTCATGGGCCTTCCTTCTCCCCTGTGACATGATGTGCATTCGATTTTACCTCATCAGCTCCTGAACCTTTCTAATACATCAGGACCTGAGTAGCCAGAGAATGTAGTGGAAGGCAAAGAGGTACTGACTGTAGAAAGAGAACAGGTGTGGAAAGATGAGAAGGGTGAGAGACCTGAGAGCCTTCCAGGTCTGAGTTTGTGAAACAGTGTCTTTTTGGAGTTTGGGATGAACGAGAATTTGGGGTCCCAGCCATAGGTATGAAGAAGGAAAGAGAGCAAAATGAAAAAAGGAATTGCAAGATTTTTGTGTGCATGAATTATTGGCTATAATTGCTTTTTGGGATAACCAAAATAAAGGTTTAATTTACTTTCCTATTTAAAAAATCCTGGAACTAAAAAAAATCCATGGACTTGGTTTTAGAAGAGCCTGAGAGTGGAGAGTCATAGGAAGTTGTGTCCTCGCCCTTAAAAAAAAAGTGGTATTCAGTAAATTATTAGGTACAAAGAAAATAGACCTTCAGTTCACAATGAGGTTTGATTACTTACCTGTTAGAATAGCAAAAATTGAAAAGATTGACCATACCAAGAGTTGGTGATGATGTGATCTCTCACAGAAGAATGATGGAAATGGAAAATGAACACTTTAGAAAACAGCTTATCAGTTTCTTATAAACTTAAACATGTAGTTACCATACAAACTAGTAATTCCACTCCTTTGAAAACATGTCCGCACAAAACTTGTACTTTAATGTTTATAGTAGTTTTGTTCATAATCAAAACTGGAAACAACTCACATGTCCATCCATAGGTGAGTGGATAAGCAAATTGTGGTATAAGCATTCAATGGAATATAATGCTCAACAGTAAAAAGTAATGAACTATTTATTGATAGATGCAACAATGTGAAATCTGAAAAGCTGTATGTTAGAGAATGAGACATAAACAACTATGAGTCTTCTTATGTAAAATTCATGAAAAGGAAAAACAGAGTGACAGAAAGTAAATCATTGGTTGCCAGTCACTGCAAAGAGGGTACAGGGAAGTTTTCTTTCTGGGGGGGGAGATACATGATTGTATGTATACATTTGTCAGAATTCATTGGCTTGTATACTGTAACTGGGTAGTTTTGTTTCATGTAAAGTATACTCAATAAAGCCAATGAAAAATTTTTGGTATTACTTTGCTCAAATTAGTTAGTACTTTGATATAGCAGTTTATTAACCAGTTCCACCTTGAGTCCACGTGTAGCAACGTTTTGACACTTACGTTCCATCCACATAGTTCAACTGGTCAAAATTTGAAGGAAGAATTGGGTATATAGTTACCTGTGAGTTTTACGTTTGTTTGGTTTTCAAACAAGTTCCTAGTTCCTCAAGTATCTCAGAATCCAGGGTAAGGATGGTAAACAGCTAAATATGCGTAGTTTGAAAAAGCTCCTCAGGAGTTTTTTTTTTTAAAGATCCCTTCCTTCTCTACAAAAGCGAGTATTCTAGAATGCTTTTCTTTTTATTCGGTTGGTTTTATTTTTAAATGAAATTTATAGAGGTGTAATTTATAAACATTAAAATGCACCCATTTTAAGTGTATAGTTGGGGCTGGGACAAGTGTGTACATACTTATGTAACCTACACAGTCATTATATAGAGCACTTACATCACCCAGAAAATTCTGTTATGTCCCTTTACTGTCAATACCCTGGGCCCGAGAAGAACACTGATCTCACTATAGATCAGTTTTACTCATTCTACAGTTTTGTAAGAATGGTGTCTTACAGTCTCTGTGTTTGGCTTTCTTTACCAAGCATAATGTCTTTTAAGATTCATTTGTGTTAAAAAAAAAGATTCATTCATGTTCTGTCTGTGCTTCATTTTTATTGTTGTGTTCCATTGTATGGCTATATAACACTTCATCTACTTACCTGCTGAAGTATGAATAGTTTTTGTGTGAACATAATTTTTTACCCCATTGGTCTTAGCTAATGCTCAGAAGTGGAATTTCTGGTTGGGATAAGTGTGTGTTAAACTTTACAAGGAACTGGCAAATTGATCGTCAAAGTGATTGTACCAGTTTACCTTCCCATTAAGGAGTGTGTAAGCGTTCCAGTTGCTCTGCATTCTCAGTAGCATTTTACGTTGTTAATCTTTAATGTTAGCCCTTTTAATGAATGTCTAATGTTAGCTCAGTGTGGTTTTAATTTGCATTTCCCTTATGATTAATAATGTTTTGAGTACATTTTTGTGTGCTTGTTGGCCATTCTTATATTTTTTTGGTGAAGGGTCTTCAGATGTTTTGCCTATTTTAAATGGGAGTATCTAACTAATTAAGGAATTGTAGAGATTCTTTGTGCTGCACACCAGTCCTTTATTAGATGTATGTATGTGGCTTGGTTATTTATTTGTTTTTTTCATTTTCTTAATGGTATCTTTCAAAGAGCATAAGTTGTTAATTTATTTTGATACGAAGCCCATTTTATCACTTTTCTTCTGTGGTGTGTTTGATGTCCTAAGAAATCTTTAACTTCTCCAACGTTGTTAAGATTTTCTCTTTATTTTCTTCTGTAAGTTTTATGGTTTTTGTATGACTCATTCTGATTTAATTTTTGTGCTGTACATGTGTAGTGCTATCAAAGTTCATTTTTTCATATGACCATCCCTTTGTTCTAGCACCACTGTTGAATAGACTCTTGTATTTCTCCATTAAATTGCCTTTAAATCTTTGTCAAAAGTCAATCAACCATGTATGTCGAAAAGCTTTTTAAAATTTGATAGCCTAAATCTTGATATAGCAGGTGTACAATTTTACCCATCAATTTTTTAATGATAATGTTTAAAAAATTTTTATTTAGACTAGTTTAAAATAAAAGTGCTCAGATAACATGATGAACAACTGAATTCTTAAAAATTTTTTAATATACAAATTAATTCAGTCTCTGCTATTTATGTAACACATTGATTAAAAGATTTTGTTTTGTTTTTCTTCATTGTGGTTTTTTTTGAAGGTTGGAACTAGATGGAAGGATGTGGTCTCCAAGTGTATCCGATGCCACTTCCAGCCACTGCTTTTGTTTTACGCAAACCCAGATGGCACAGCAGTTTCTACTGAAGATGCACTTAGGCAGGTCATCAACTGGTCACATTATAAATCTGTTGCAGAAAATATGGGTAATTTTCAAAAGTTCTTTTCAATGTTTTTTTTTAATAGTATCACAATCACACTAAGAATATTAATATACTGAAGATAAAATGAATTTTGAGGATAATTTCAAAATTTAGTTTCAGTAAAACAGAGTTCAGGAAAATTTTATTATTTTGAGTTAATCTTTATAAAGAAGGCTTTCCTCACCGATGGCCGCTAAAGCACCCTCAGGAGTTACCCACTTGTGTGGTCACACAAGCACCAAAGGGGATACTTGGCTGGAAGCTCTTTCTAACAGTGAATATTGAGATTTAAAGTGAGTCATACACAGGAAAAGTCCAAAGGAGCTTACGCCCATTTTTGGATACATTACAAAACATACAGAAATCATTTAAAAATGTCTCCTGGGATGCCTGGGTGGCCTAGTCGGTTAAATGTCTGACTCTTGATTTCAGCTCAGGTTGTGATCTCATGGTAGTGAGTTCAAGCCCCGAGTTGGGCTCATGCTGAGCATGCTGAGCTTGGAGCCTGCTTAGGATTCTTGCAGTCCCTCTCTCTGCCCCTCCCCAGCGCACACATGTTCTCTCAAATAATAATAATAATAATAAGGATGCCTGGGTGGCTCAGTTGATTCAGTGTCTGACTCTTGATTTCGGCTCAGGTCATGATCTCATCATTTGTGGGTTCAAGCCCCAAGTTGGGCTCCTTGTTATCAACACAGAGCCTCCTTGGGATTCTCTTTCTCTCCCTCTCTCTCGCTGCCCTTACACTCTCCCCTCTCAAAAATAAATAAAATTAAAAAAAAAAAAAAAAGTCTGGCAAATGTTCTCTTTAAAAATGTATATATATCAGTGTCAATCCTTTGAGTTTGTAAGTGAGTGACTACAGTATTAAAAATGATTCAGGGGGAAAAAAAAGAAAATGATTCAGGGGTGTGTGGTTCAGTCAGGGGAGCATGCACCTCTTGATCTCAGGGTTGTGAGTTCGAGCCCCACATTGGGTATAGAGATTACTTAAAAATAAAATCTATAAACAAAAGTTTCAAACTTCACTTCTTCTGGTGGGGAGGAGGATGGGCATAATACATTTTTGTTTGTCTTTTAAGGATGTGAAAAGCCCATAATTTATAAGTCAGATAATTCAAAAGAGAATGGATTTGGTGATCAGGCAAAACAGAAAGAAATTCAGAAATTTCCAACAGATAATATTTCATCATTTAATCGGAACCACATTCAAACAAGTGGTGGTAGAGGGCCAGGTATGTGTTTAAGTTATCATTTTTATATTGTCCCTGAGTAATTATGCTTCCCCCTTTCTCGTTTACTGAATCTGTAATTCCTGGTAAGTACCATACAGAAGGAGGGTGTTTAACTATTCTTGGCCATGAAGAGAAAATAACTAGATAACAACATTTTGTCTTTTAACTTAATGCATTTCTCTCAGACTTGTGGTTTTATCTGAACAATTGACTACTATTTGGGTTTCTCCATATATTGACAGCTGTAATAGGCTGGAGGCAATCTGGACTGTTACCAAAGAAAGTCATAATATGGCTTTTCCTTCTAGGAGTTAAATATTAACTTGGAGAGGAAAAACATGAGTTAATAATTTGGTTCATAGGCTAAAATTAAATTTACCATTAGTGAATATAGCAGTAGTTCAGAGTTATTATAGTTGTACTTTATATTTAACTTCATTTTTATTCAACTCTCTGTTGTTACATCATACCACAGATTTAATTTTCACAAACCAGGTTCTGTGACTTGGGTCCACAATGAGACATTGCCGCATGGTGTGTGTAGTTATGGTTTAGAAATACATAAAACTTGAATTGGGTGGATGTTCAGGATGAATTTATAAGCAGCTTTAAAGTACATTAATGAAATAATGTCTAACTATAAAAGTAACCCATTTAATCAAGGGTGGTAGGATCCCGAATTAACAGTTGTCATCAACAAAGAATTACAGGGATGCCTGAGTGGCTTGGTTGGTTAAGCATACAACTCTTGATTTCTACTTAAGTCATGATGTCACGGCCATGGGATTGAGCCCTGTGTCGGGTTCAGTGTGGAGCCTGCCTGGAATATTCTCTCTCTCTCTCTCTCTCTCATAAATAAATTTAAAAAAAACAAAAACAAGGAATTACAGTAAATGCTTTTAAAAGTTCTGAATGAGACCATCTTTTACCCTCTGTATTGGTCATACTCTTAGATTAAGCTGTTACCTATTTGTTAAAAGATAACTACTTGTAAGCCCCAAAACTGTATGTGATTACAAACACAAACATTGGACCAGACAACTTGGGTTCATAATCCTGGTTCTACATTTACAAGCTATGTGAACCTGGGAAAGTTTTTAACTTCTCTGTACCTCAGTTTCCTGATCCACAGTGGAGATAGTAATTGTACCCACCTCAAAGAATTAAATGAGTTAAGACTTAGAATGGTGTCTGACACATAGTGACCACTCAGTTACCTTTAGCTTTTAGTATTTCAATATAAGATCTCTTTACACAAGTTTTTAGGAGCTATATAAGAAGTTCTTAAAGCCAACAGGCATCTCCAGTGTCAGGATAAAAGCACATTGAGTTTTTTGGCTAAGGATAAAAATGAGTTCATTGTATACTTACTTTCTTTTTAATATATAACATGTTAAAAATTTTATATAGTTCAATTTGTACTTTTATTGAGCAATTTGAAAAATGATCTGTATCATTTATAAGAATGGTTTATTTTACAGTTAAGTTAAGTCACAATGATCAAAGGGAAAAAATAAAAGACATTTCCAGAGAATGTGCTTTAAAGGCCATTGAACAGAGAAACTTACTTTCGTCACAAAGGAAGGATTTGGAGAGGGGACCAAGAAAAGATTTGGGCCGACATAGAGGTAAGCTAAGAGCTTATAGTGTTCATTTGAGAAAAGGAGTTGCTAAAATCTTACTTTTAAACTAAATTTTGTAACCTTAATACAAATTAATATAATTTCTTTATTATTTATCATATATACTTATGTACATGTTATGTTATATATCTTAGTATGATTTCTTTAATACACCTATTAAATCTATAAAAATAAATTCTGGAGTGTTCTTATTTAATTTTAGCCTGGAATACTTGTGGTTGTTTAGATGTTTTAACTTCCCTTGTAATTATAGATTCACTTCACCCATATGGTACATTCAAACAAGAAGGAAGGTTATAAAATTAAATGAGGAGAGCTTCTTTTCTTGCAGCTCCTCACCTTTCTTCTGTTTCATCGTTAATAGTGTCCAGTTCATTATGAGCGTGCCTTACACTTTATGGTTTTATCCTCTTTTCGTTATGGACATGCCATTAACTTAAATTATACTGCTAGACTTTAAAAGTTGATTTGAGATTTTTGCTGCAGTGATATCCTTTTACATACACTTTTGTATACTTTTTTTATGTATAGCAATAGCATAAGATTCTTTCAGGGGAATGGCTCGGTTAAGGTATGTATGTTTATTCTTAATTTTGCTGGATGTGGCTCAATTGCTCTCTTAAAAGCCTGAGCCATTCTGCACTCTCACTGACATTGTTTGGATGTCTGTTTTTTCACACCCTCAGCAGCAGTTGGTTTAACAAACTTTTAAGCCTTTACCAATATAAGAAGTAGAAAATACTCTTGTTGTTATGATTTTCATTAATTATGAATGAGACAAAATACTGTTTGTTTTTTTTTTTAATTTTTTTTTAACGTTTATTTTCTTTTTGAGACAGAGAGAGACAGAGCATGAACGGGAGGCGGAGAGAGGGAGCACACAGAATCGGGAGGAGCAGGCTCAGGCTCTGAGCCATCAACCAGAGCCCGACCTATGGGGCTCGCGAACTCACTGCGGACCGTGAGATGCGTGTGACCCTGAACTGAAGATGCTGAGCATTAATGGCACGACTAGGAAACCACCAAGAGCCCTAAAATACTGATTTTTTTTTTTTAATTTTTTTTTTCAACGTTTATTTATTTTTGGGACAGAGAGAGTACACAGGCATGAAGCAGGGGAGGGGGCAAGAGAGAGGAGACAATGGAATGGGAGAGCAGGCTCCAGGCTCCCAGGCCCATCATGTGGCGGCAGGCTGAACTCCACCAGGACCTTGAGATGTAGTTGAAGGTCGGGGCCAACTTAACCGACTCATGCCAAGCTAAAACTACTGTTTTTTTTAAAAAAAATATTTAAATTAAATTACATTAAAGTATTTAAAATTTTTTTTAGATCTTATGATCTACCTTAGAGATCATTTTTTAAAATCAATATATAACCACTTATCTTATAAATGCCTGTCATGAAGGATAGAGAATGAAAAAAAACACTTTTTAACTTCAAACCTCTATGTGATATACTATAAATCTTATTGTTTACTTATTACTGCTTAACATTTCTTTACAAACAAGGTGTTTGACTTGTGACTGAGAAATGTCTCTGAAGAGTACTCATTTGTATCTTCATTTGATTATTTATTTTTAAAGATTTGGTTGATGAAGACCTTCCACATTTCAAGTCTGGATCACCTCCTGCCCCAAATGGCTTTAGGCAATATGGAAATCCACATCTATATCATAGTCAAGGAAAAGGACCATACAAGCATGACCGAGTTGCCCATCAGAGTCGAGCTTCTGCACAAATACTGAGTTCAAGTAAATCCCAGATTCTTGCCCCAGGAGAGAAAGTTACTGGCAAAGTTAAGAGTGACAGTGGCACTGGATATGATACAGACAGCAGCCAAGATTCTAGGGATAAAGGAAGCAGTTACAGTGGCAGCAGTAAAAGCCGGAACCGTGGTTGGAAACCCATGAGGGAAACATTAAATGTTGATAGTATTTTTAATGAAAGTGAAAAAAGGCAACATAGTCCAAGACATAAATCAAATATCAGTAACAAACCTAAATGTAGCAAAGATCAGAGTTTTAACAATTGGCCAAAGGAGAACCCAAAGCAGAAATGTTTAATGACCATATACGAAGATGAAATGAAGCAGGAAATAGGAGGCAGGAGTTCCCTTGAATCAAATGGAAAAGGAGCAGAGAAAAATAAAGGCCTCAAAGAGACTAAAGTTTATGGTGACAATTGGCAGATGCAGAGGACTGAGTCTGGATACGAAAGTAGTGATCATGTCAGTAATGGATCTGCTAATTTGGATTCACCTGTTATCGATGGAAATGGTACAGTAATGGATATCAGTGGTGTTAAAGAAACAGCATCCTGCAGGTAATGCACAAATTAAATGAATGCTTTTCCCCCATCATTTTCTCTTGTTAGTTATATGAAGTGATTTTCAAAGTCTGAGGTCAATAAAGTGTAATGGAAAGAGCTTGACTTTAGAATGAAGAAACCTGGGATATCACAAGTTATTTGATATTTCAGGTTTCTGTTTTTAATAGTTACCTCCTGATTCTGAAAATAACTTTATTTTTAGGAAATTTTAGAAGTGCAGAAATACATTATCATTGTTGCCACTGATAAGAATTAATATATACTACAGGTTTTCTTTTTTTTTTAATTTTTTAATGTTTTTATTTATTTTTGAGACAGAGAGAGACAGAGCATGAACAGGGGAGGGGCAGAGAGAGAGGGAGGCACAGAAGCCAAAATAGACTCCAAGCTCTGAGCTGTCAGCACAGAGCCTGACGCGGGGCTCGAACTCACGGACTGTGAGATCATGACCTGAGCTGAGGTGGGATGCTTAACCGACTGAACCACCCAGGCGCCTCTATACTACAGGTTTTCCAGTGTAGATTTAAATTGGTTGCATCTCTGTCATCAAGCTAATTATTTAATTCTTCAATCTATTTAATGTTCATTATCCCATCTCTAACATCTATAACTCAGAAGTAGGGATATTTTCTACTTTCATAGCCAATTCCATGGAAGAGATATTTTTCCTTTAGCAAGTATAAAAGAATACAGCCAAATAACTAAGTTTGTGTTCAATTAATTCTGAATACATTTTTTGTTTCTGTTAGAAGCACATTTGCCCTTTCCTGTGTAACCTCTAAAACACATCCACAGCTTAAATGGTGGATTTCTTACATCAGTCTGGCCACAATTTCTGCTTTTAATCCAAGTAAAACATCTTAATTTGTTATTAGCTGGTGTTTTACCACATTTATTATTAAAAAGCCAGATTCACAAAAATCAACTGCTTGTATTATATTAAATAATCATTGCCATAAAGACTTAGGATGGCAGGGCAATTTCATAACACTTCTTGGAAAGGGGTAGCCTAGGGTAGTAGAAAGGTCAGGACTTTGTAACCAGATAGTCTTGGATTTTAAGTATTGGGCAAATTAATTTGACTTTGACAGCCTTAATCTTCTGTTGTAAAATGAGGATGATAGCTACTTTTAAGTGTTGCTGTGAGATGTAAATTAAATAATGTACATTAATCCCCTAGAACAGCACATGGCATATAATAATTCTTTAACAAGTATTATTTCCTTTTTCTTAGATTCTAACTAAAATAATCCACGATAGCTGATATACTTGGTGTGTGTTTTGTTCTGTTTTCTAGTGACCAGGTTAAAACAAGCAACCTAAATGTAGAATATATCAACTGTTCCTCCCAACAGAGCAAAAACTACTTGGAAGGTAAAATTTTATTTAAATATATTGTAATAGTAGCTGTAAAGAATAAGTTGTGGTAATAAGAGTAAAGAAGCTAGGAACAGTGCTATTACTGGTAAGGTTATGAGTAATGAGCAAGTTGGGAGAATTCATGCTTGAAGGCTTTTAAAGGATGGGGATAGCTAGTTCAGGGACTGGGCCAAGAGGGGAATGTGTCAGTCAGGATAGGCTAAGCTCTAGGCTACACAGTGGTAACAACTTCAAGATCTCAGTGTGCCAGCACACATTTGTGTTTTGCTCATGATACATGACCAGTGGAGGTCAGTATGGAGTCCTTCCTAGAAGTCACTCAGGGTCCCAGGCTAATGAGACTACATCTCCACAGACGTTTCTCTGATCCTTGCAGTATTATGGGGAGAGGAGATTGAAGGAGGACACAAGAATCACGCCTGAGCTCTTAAAACTTCAACCCAGAAATGATGAATGTACTTTCACTCACATCTTGGCCAAGGCATGTCTTATAGCCAAGCCTAATTTCAAAGAGGGTGGAAAAGAGCAGTCTTACTAGTGCCTGGAAGGTGAACTGAAATATGCATGAACAGTCCTGATGTCTACCACAGGAGTTGACAGGATAGAAAAATGGATAAACACCCTGTTAGAAGAGTTCAGTTTGGAAACAGTAATTATATTCATGGTGTGGGGCATTATTATAGGTGATCTGTTACTCATACATAGCCCAGAAACAAAATTAGATGTTATGAATGTGTGTAGAATTCAGGTTGCTATTGAAAGGATATAGCTGAAGGATCTGGGGGAGAAGGATCAAGGAAAATGATAAGCAAGGGGATTATTGAGGTTGCAATCAAAGACCATATTTTCAAATGTTAGAATTCAGAGGATTAGAAAAGGTAATTTTTCACAATAAAAAATAGCCATGAAGAACAAATTTTTAGTTTGTTTTTTAATCTTTATCATTCTTAAGGCTTTTGTGGAGATTATTTTAAGGTTACAGACATTGAATATGATGAAATGTTAAATTATGTTGTTTTTATCAAATGGTATAATATCAGAAGGAAACACTTATATTAAGGAAATAACCTTCCTTTCCTATATAAAATGTCTCGCCTGTTTAAAAATCTGATAAAAGTCTGGTAACCAAGTATTACAGGAAGCAGTAAAGGGTTGGCCAGAAATCAACAGCAGAAGTCGGTGAAATTGAACAATAAGTGCAAGTTCAGTACTTTTTACAAAATTATGCTTGCTTCCTGATAGTAATAAAAACACAAGGTCATAGAGATTGTGATGGGCAAGAATGTATTGCTGTAAGAGCTTTGTAGTGGGCTTCCCCATTTAATATCAAAGCGTATGTATATAACCTACATGAGAATATTTTTTTATTGTGGTAAAATACACATTACAGGTTTGCCATTCTAACCATTTTGAAGTGGCAGTTGAGTGGTAGTAAGAACGTTCACATTGCTGTGCAGCCATCACTACCATCCATCTCCAGAACTCTTTCAACTTCTCAAACTTAAATTCTTGTACTCAGTAAAAAGCTCTCCGTTTCCCCCTCCCTCCCAACCCCCAGCAACCACCATTCTACTTTCTATCTCTATGAATTTGACCACTCTGGGTACCCCAGATAAGTGGAATCATACAGTATTTGTTTTTGTGTGTGTGTGTGTGTGTGTGTGTGTGTGTGTGTGTGTGTGTGTGACTGGCTTATTTCACTTAACATAATGTCTTTGAAGTTCATCCATGTTGTGGCACGTGTCAAAATTTTATTTCTTTTTAAAGGCTGAATAATTATACATTGTATAACACAACACATTTTGTTTATCCATTCATCTATTGATGGACATTTGGGTTGTTTCTATCTTTTGGGTATAGTGAGTAATGCTCCTGTGAACATTGGTGTACAAATATCTGAGAATTCCTGCTTTCAGTTCTTTTGAGTATGTACCAAGAAGTGCAATTGCTGGATTCTTTGGTAATTATGTGTTGTTGTTGTGGTTTGTTTTCTTTTTTTGAGGAACCACCACACTGTTTTCAACAGCAGCTGCACCATTTTACATTCCCACCAGCCATGCACAAGGGTCCCAACTTCTCTATATTTCACCAACATTTGTTGTTCTCTGGGGTTTTGTTTTGTTTTGTTTTGATAATTACCATCACTAATGGGTATGAAGTAGGTTTCTTATTGTGGTTTTATGTAACCCACTTATTTAATACATAAATTGTATTATGTTAAAATTATTTCTTATTTAACAAACTTCAGAGTCTACCAGAGTTCTCTCACCTGGTCTTTGCCTTGAGGATCTTTGTTAATGCCCCTGCCCATGGTGTCTCTATGGATTCCCCTTCCCTACTCTTTGAGAACATGTTAAAATAGTATAGGTGTTTTTTCCCCAAGCTAAACACATTCCCTATGTGGATTTTTGTTTTAAGTAAGGCACAGTTTAATTTAATTCTTTGTGATTTGGTATGATTTCCTTGGCTTTGTCCTATTTCTTTATAAAATGGTGGCACACTTACAGTATTGACCTAAAGAATCGCTTTCTGTTATATGCTATAAGACTTAGAAAGTTAAGGAGCTTTAGAATTTTTTTTACTTTCTTATTTATGATATTTAAGTCAGTTTTTAATATTAGCCTGTACAAGTTTATTTGATGTTAGAGAACCAAGAATCTACAGTAGTGCCATGCCATAGTAATTATTTCATTGATGTTTTTTCATTGACAAAGATACATGGATTTCTCTGCCTATGTCATGGTTTTTGCTGCCTAAAGCTATTGTCCAGATACACTGTTGGAATTTCACAGTGCCATTTAGATTATTTTAGCTCCTCTTTTAAAATGGGTCACTAATCAGGAGAATTTCAAATGCCTTAAATTACATTCAAGACAGAAGAAATTATATGTTCACATGGTCAGGAGAAAGTATCACATTGGAAGAATACAGGTAGTTTAGTGTATGCAAGGCTGAGTGCATGTGTGGAAGTTGTCAGATGACAGATAGAGGGTAGATAGAAGCCAAATCATGATGAAACTTTTATGCTATTTTTAAATTCTACAGTAAGTGGAAAGGCAGCAGAGGACAAGAAGAGTAATACACTCCAGTCTGCATTTTAGAAAGCCTCTGGTGGCAATGTAGAGGGTGAGTTCGGAGCAGTGGGAGAAAAATTAGATGACTACTTTAACAGCCTGGAGTGAAAGGGTGAGGGCATAAACTAAGACAGTACCAGTGTCAGAAGAGAAGATTTGAGTTTGTAAGAATTTGTAGACAATGGAGTCAGCTTTTATGACAGATGTACAAAAGGGAGGAAAAGGAGGAAGCTGTATTTGGGACTTACATAAATAGTTACACCACTTACCAAATCAAAGAATATAGAAAGAAGAAACAACTTTCAGGGGATGAAAGGAGATGCCCAAGGTATTTTGGGATTGTTTTGTTTATCATCTGGGTTAAATAGATGTATTAGCCAGTTAGGGACATATGTCTACAATTAGGAGAGATTATGTACCGGGTAACCAGCCACATATATGGGAGTTGACATCACTCAGGAAAACTGGAGATTTCAGAGCAAAAAGTAGAGGAAAAAAGTTGGGGTTTGCTAAGAGAGATGAACTAAGGATAGAGAGAAGGAGCAACTTTGGGAAAGTATGGGGAAGAGCTAAAGGTATGAGAAAATACAGGACATAAGATTATCACAGGGAAACCAGGAAAATGGGGAGCTTCAAGAAGACAAGTGGTCACAAATTAAGCAAAATAAGGATTAAAAAGCACAGGTTTGATTTAGCGGTAAGTCATTAGTGAAAGAGTAAAAAGCAGTGTTAGAAGGACATTCGAAATAGAAGCAAGCTGAGGTAGGACTGAAGTATTATTGAGAAATAAAGGGCCATGATGTTTCTAACTTAAAATGGCTCAGGGGTGCCTGGGTGGCTCAGTTGGTTAAGCATCTGATTTCGGCTCAGGTCATGATCTCGCAGTTTGTGAGTTCAAGCCCCACGTTGGGCTCTGTGCTGACAGCTCAGAGCCTAGAGCCTGCTTCAGATTCTGTGTCTCCCTCTCTCTCTGCCCTTACCCCACTTGTGCTCTGTCTCTCTCTATCAAAAATAAATAAATTAAAAAAAAAATTGCTCAGAAAAAAATGGAGCAAAATGTTAATAGGTGAATCTGGGTAAAGATATACAGGTATTCTTTGCACTAGTTTTAATCTTTCAATTTTTCTGGACTTTTTGACATTTTCAAATAAAACGTCTTAAGAAATTACAGTAGAATAATAAGTTAATAAAAGAGAAGTAAAGAAATGGATTTAGCACATGTCTCTCCAGACCTTTGCTGTGAATAGCGAAGAAGCAGTACCTAGAGGAGAAAGATGAAACCAAGAGCTTAGTTTTGCATTTAGGTTATGGAGGGTAAGGAACTGATGATGTACAGAGGAAGAAAAAGGTGTGAAGATAAGAATAGAACAGAACAGTAATTGGTGGAATAAGATCTCTGGAGGCAGAGTGGAAAAAGAAACAAAGAAGATAAAGAAACAGGCCAGTTAAAGTTTTGTGATTTTTCCAAAGTATTCAAATTTTATTTACAAAATTTTTGTTTTATTGTAAATCAGATCATTGATTGGATTATTGCTCTTGAATGTGTTTAGGCTTTGTAATAGTAGTGCTCATGTTATATTTTGAAATCTCCCTATACAACAAGAGTGAAGATTACATTGTCTAGACCAGCAGTTTGGTTTTATTGCTACCTAAGCCTGTTTTAAACCAGGGTCATCTTTTCAGATGAAGTATATATTTTGATTTCTTGACTATTGGGCTTTTTAAAAATACAGTATCAAAATTAGCATTATTAGTTCAAACCTTGGTGTTGTCTTCTGTGCCAAGTGTAAAAATTGAACTATTTTGGTTTGCAAAGGACCTGGAGCCAAAATTCCCAGTAAAGACACATGGATGTCTATGTCAGCAGAAGAGAAAAATAACACATCTATTTTTAAGTTAGTTGGAATTCTGAAGTCAAACCACTTGGTTGAATGCCTGCCATAGTGACATGAAAATTTCAAACATATTTATAAGACCTCTGCTGCCTCCTGCTGTCTGTTGTACATACTTTAATAGTAAAGAGTTCTTTAAGAATTAAGTATTTTTTCTGGTGTTTGTGAATAATAAACTTGAAATTAGGGTAAGAAGTAAACATTCTGAAGTTAAAATCAAAGTGAGTAGAAAATTATAATGTAACTTCAACTTTCTAATTTTTCAAGTCCAAAAAATTATCAGTTCTTTTTGACATTACCTTTTTTTTTTTTTTTTTTTTTTTTTTTTTTTTCTTTTCTAAATAATCATAAAGTAGCTGCTGAAGAGAGAGGCTGTTTTTGAGCCTCAGCAATCTGTCAGGCTTACAAGCAACTAACACTCCCTGGGATCAATGATACTGCCTTTTATTTTTAAGATTTTATTAGTGTGGCACTTGTTAAAGTTGAAATAGGTCAAGAGGAAAGGTAAGAAGAATTTGACTCAGTTTATACTTATCTAGTTCTGGTTCTGTGAGTTGGGAACGTTGTGGACAGGGTGGTGGTAATTTAAGAGAAGAAAAACAGTATGTTTTGCATGTAATTGTTTATTCATTTTCTAGACTTTCATTGAATGTATTATGTATGTTAGATATTATACTAAGGGAAACAATAACAAAAAGGGAATGTATCGTGTAATAATGAAGAGCTTACTGCAGTCTAGAGGACGTAGGAGTGTTAAGTCTTAAACAAATGAATGCCAGACTTGTAGTTCTTCTCATTCTGCTATCTTAGGTTTTATTGGAAGCTAACATTTACTGTGTGAGCAATATTGCATATGGGGTATTAAATTCTCATATATATTACACAACTCTTTCTTAGAAATTGAAGATTTAATTTGCAAAGCCTGATGGTAATCAAATACAGATTTTTTTCCATAGGATAATAGTTAGATGTTTTGATCAACTATAGATTCTAGCTGAACTTTGAGTGACACCCAGAAGATCAACTTAGGGATAAAAAGCCATCTAAGATAAAGTTCTTTGTTATTGTTTAAAAAATGAAGTTGTTGCTTTAATAACTTTTGTTTTCTCTGAAATCTTTTTTTTTTTTTTTAATGTTTGTTTATTTTTGAGACAGAGAGAGCAGGAACAGGGGAGGGGCAGAGAGATAGGGAGACACAGAATCTGAAGCAGGCCCCAGGCTCCTAGCTGTCAGCACAGAGCCTGATGCAGGGCTCGAACTCACAAACCGTGAGGTCATGACCTGTAGGTGGATGCTTAACTGACTGAGCCATCCAGGCGCCCCTTCTCTGTAATCTTCAATTCATAGGTTTGGAGTACAATTAAAAGCATGAGAATGAAAGAAAACATAAATGAATGTGATAACAATGCCATCTAAAAATAAGGGAGGATACAGGAAAAACTTAAGTAGAATTGTATAGAAGTATAGGCAATCAATTGAAAATTCAAGCTAATGCCATATATTCTGATATCTTCTGTAGGCATCAGCACATTAAAGTGGATCATGTTATTTGATGTTCAAACTAGTGGCCTAGTTTCATCACAGGAGATTCTGTATGATGATCTCAGATTTTAGTAGCATATGTGAAAGAGAGCTTGCAGGTAGGGGAAAGGGCACTGACTTTGGAGTTAACCCTGGATTTGTTTGAATGCTGTCACCAGTTACATAGCATCAGTTAGGTCACCTAACTTCCTTGGGGTATAAAAAGGGAAATTTTGGGCACCTGGGTGGCTCAGTTGGTTGAGCCTCTGACTTCAGCCCAGATCATGATCTCACAGCTGGTAGGTTTGAGCCCTGCATCAGGCTCTATGTTGACAGCTCAGGGCCTGGAGCCTGCTTCAGATTCTGTGTCTCCTTCTCTGCCCCTCCCGCATTCATGCTCTGTCTGTCTCTCTCAAATAAACTTTAAAAAATAAAAATTTGAAAAGAAAAAAAAAGGGGAGGGAATCATTTCACAGAACAGTTGTGACTGAGATTTTAAAAGACAACTATTTTCAATCAATTGTAGCAGTAGTTTTCAAACTTTTTGATCTCAGGATATTTTTATACTATTAAAAAATATTAAGGACCTCAAAGAGCTTTGGTTTTTATGGGCAATATATATTAATAATTACTGTATTGGGCTTTAAAATGGAACATTTTAAGTATTTAAAGAATGATTTACTTTACTCATGCATGATTTTTTTTTACTAACCTCATTTGGAAAATACTGATTTGCTAAATTTGCAAGTCTTCCAAATATTGACACATTTCTTTATATAATTTAAAAAAGCACATTTGTTAATATTGCAACAGATGTTAGCAGAAGTCTTTATAATTATCGGGAAGCTACAAAACTCATGATGGTGGATACCCGTTTTCCAAAATTCTAATTTTCATCCAAAAGCTTGAATTCTATCATTGGCAATAAATAATGCTAGTTGTTTTCTTGGAAATGATACGTTCATGTCTTTAATTTTTAAGAAAATTTCTGCCAGGTACCCAACTCTGAGTAACCAGCGTTTGTTGTCTTTCAAGTAAAAATGGGGTTCACTTGTAAAGATTAAATGAAATAATTATTATCAACCTCTTAACAACTTAGCAGTCAGTAAATGGTAGCTAGTTAGTGATGATGACATAACATCTTACATGTATCATAATACCTTCCCACATATTTAATTCAGTTGATGTTCCTAATGTTCATGTGAGGAAGGTAAAAGAGGTGTCATTATCTCATATAAATGAGGAAACAGATTGTAAGGGATTGAGAGGTTTGTTTAAAGTTACTAGCCCATAACTAGCAAATCTGAACTTCAACCCAAGCCATCTGTCTTCAGATGCACGATTTCCCCACCACTTTGTCGGCAAAGAATATGTCTTACGTAACTGGGGAAACAACATAGCTCCACGCAGTGTAGCCCCAATAACATTGCTAACATTTCCAAGTGGTAGTAGAAGTAGCCATTTATTTTGTATAAAGCATTCAGAAAAGAGGTATTATTTGAGCTGGGCCTTGAAGAATTAATTTGTTAGTTGTAAGAGAATTACCTATTTATAGGAAACCTTAGGTAAATTATGGAGAAGTATAAGTGGAGTAAATTATAAAAGATCACTTAAATAATTTAATTTTTCTCTCTCCCCACCTCAGGCTTCAGAAAAGAACTCAAGAATTTGGAAGTAGGCTGTAAATCTCCTGAGTTCCACCCAGAGTCACATCTACAAATAAAAAATCCTTTGATAAAGAGGTAATCAAAAATATTTGGAAAAACTAAAATTTTCTGTACTAAATGCATGTATTATAGGAACTCTTTATCAGATAGGCTGTAAATTCATATTACTGCTCTGAAAACAATGGGTCTACAATTTTATTGATGCCTGTCTGTTCATTAAAAGTGATCATTAAAAGGACCTAAGAATAGAGAGCCTGGCCTACAAAGTACCTGATACAATACATGATTGTTGTCATCCTCACAGCACTTTTAGGAGGTAGATGGTATTATACCAAAGAGAAAATTAAGGGCTTTTATTAAGTAATTTGCCTGAAGCAATGGAGCTGAAATTTGAATATAGCTCTTATCCTACAGAGCCTCTTTTCATCAATTCCATGCAATTCACATGAGAAAAATAATTTTCATATAGCAAAATAAAATTTACAATATAATATCATTTATCTTCACCACAGAAGTGAATTACCTAGGGGCAGCTGGGTGGTTCAGTGAGGTAAGCATCTGACTCTTGATTTCAGCTCAGTGTCATGGTCTCACTGTTGGTGGGTTCAAGTCCCACGTCAGGTTCCATGCTGACACTGACAGTAGCACAGACATCCGGCTTAGGATTCTCTTCCTCCCTCTCTCTGCCCCTCTCCTGCTCACACGTTCTCAAAATAAATAAACTTAAAAAAATCGTTACCTATAAGGTTATCACTCTAACAGTGGTCTTTGAAGGGTTGCTGAGGAGTGCTGAGGAGTTTCTGAATTATTCAAACCCCCGTCAAGGCCTAACCTCAGGAGAACACAAAAATTGAAAGCTGAAGTCTATTTAGCCATATTATAGTTACCTGTCTGAAGGAAGACTGAGCTGCTAGATAGGGGCTGGTCAACATGAGGTCTAGAAAAGGGAGGCCAAGAGTTTGACAGTATTTGTCTAGTACTGACTCAGGGAGATGCTCTCTGGAATGTTGTGTCAGTTGTGTCTTATAGTTTTCTTGTAAAATTGGTAACTGCCATTTAAATGATCTTTGAGTAGTGGCTGAGAACATGGCCTTTGGAGACAAACAGATCTGGGTTCAATTCCTAGTTCTTCTGTTTATCATCCAGGTGATTTTGGCCACATGCAGGTAAAGGGGGATAGTAGTCTTTACTTGAATAATCTTTACCTGAATACTGTTGTAGATCAAAGAAAGTAACAGAAAAGCTCTAGTATAGTGGCCAGCATGTAGTTAGTGCTTACTAAATAGTAACTATTATTTTTACTTACAGTCTGTGCAACTTAAGATCTTAAGGGCTGATTAATAATTGAAACAAATTAGAGTCGAATGTATAGCATTTTGTCATTGGCAAAAAAACATGGCTTTGTAGACAGGGTCTCTTGGAAATTGAGAGAGGGCTCAGACCATTTTTTCTCTTTTGTTCCTCTATTTGTTTTTGAAGCTCTTGGCATTATATAATATATAATAACAGAATAACAGATATACATATATATTACGAATTCTAAAACTGGTTTCCAAAAAAAATCATTACCTAAAGGTACTCCTGATCAAATTATTTTTAATTAGTATGCCAGCCTTTTATAGCATTACATGTCAAAATTAAAGTTGTCTCTATTGTATAAACTTTGTGATGTTGGTTGAGAAGTGTTTTAGGGAATTGAAGTGTTTGCTTATAACATTTTTTTTTTAAGTCTATGATACATTTTATCACAAATAAATGCAATTTCCATGCTTGTAAGTTGAAATGAGTTTTTTTAAATTATGTTTCTAATTATTAGAAATCTGATTTTGGTAAATCTGATAGGTGTTTCTGGCATTCATATATTTTAGCATAAATTTCAGACTAAGTGTAAAATGTTAATGGTTATAAATATCTTCCCACTTCTGTTACAAAAATAACATAAAGTGTATATTGAGAAATTAAACTGCAGACAATGTTTGTTTCTCCCCCAGTTCTGCCTATTTATATATGGTGTTTTAGCTTTGTTTTTATGTTTCAGGTCACATATTATATATGAAACGAATGGAAAGTTGTTCCTTTCGTCAGGTCCACAGATACTGAAGGACACTGCAGCAAGAGAGCATATCCACCAGTCAAATGAACAGAAACTTGAAACAGCAAGTGAATGCAGATTTTCTGAGTGGCTTAATACAGAAAATTCTGAGAGAACAGGTTTACTTCTTCACATTGATGATAATTCTGCTTCTGGAAAGATAATGAACAGTAATGAAATAGTCTTACCATCTTCTTTGTGGTCCTCACACATGAGACCTGTCGGGTTAAAGCCAGAAACTGCTCCCCTCATCGAGCAGCAAACTATGATGGAACAGTGTTCCTCTGAGAAGTCTCTATCCAGGGAACATATAATTCAGTCAGCCTGCAGATCTGATGGTCAGATGCCAAACCTCGTTAGCCATAATCCGCCTCCTTTGCCACCAAAGAAATATGCTATAACCAGTGTGCCACAGTCAGAGAAAAATGGTTCCACACATAATGTCAAACTTACAGAGACATTTAAAGCTAATTCTTTTAGTCTTCCAAAGCACAGTTTAAGTCCGGATCCAGAACCAGGTTCAGAAGTGGGTACATACATGAATGATGAAAGACTTAAGGAAACATTTCAAGTAAAAGAGCATGTTGGCAACACACCAAACTACCTGTCCGGCTCTTCAACTAAAGATTTTCAGGCAGACTTGGGTACAGTTGTTGATGAGTTTTACCAACCAGAAATAGACTCTAGTTCTACTTGTCCAAATGAGACCATTTCATTAACTACCTATTTTTCAGTTGATAGCTGCATGACTGATACATACAGACTGAAATACCATCAGAGACCCAAGCTCTATGTTCCGGAGAGCAGTGGTTTTTGTAATGATAATTCGCTATCCCAGAGTGAAAGAGGGCTAGGACCGGTGTTACACAATAGTCTTGGTTCAAACTGCCCTTCTGAGCAAAGATATAAACCTAGTATACATTGTAGTAGATAAATGATGAAACTGGTAAGCTTATACTTCTCAGAGGCCATTAAAAATAATAGGAATTGACTGACCAAACCTGGTAATACATGAAATTAAAACCATGGCATTTTTAAAGTCATTAATCGCTTTAACTTTCTATATATATTTTTTATTTTGTGATCAACTTACTGGATATTTTAGAAATTCCCTTTGAATAGCCTTGGCGTGCCTGCAAAATAGCAAATTGGGGGGTGTGCAAAAAGTCACTGCTGCAATTGAATAAAAATGTACTTTGTTCCTTTATGTGTGGCTAACAGACCCATAAGTATTAAACTAACCAATATTCACATATGCAGATTGATAAACTATGCTAATGGAAAAATACCAGGTGATACATAGTTTGTGTAGTCAAAGCAGTATTTGCTTTACTAAGAAGCACTTTCTAATGGGTAAGGAACCAAAGGAGGGCTTCACCCATTTGTTTTTGACTTCTGTGATAGTCTATTACATGCAATCCCTTTAAGTGTCTTAAAAAATATCAACCCATGAAATTGATAGCATTTGAAAAAGAAAAAAAAAAGCCTTAATGATAAAGCAATTTTTAAATTAAATTCTTAAGGTCAGAAGAGAAGAAACTTAATTTTGCTCCTAGAACTTTTATCTACAGAATGCCTAGTTAACATGAATTAGGCCTTTGTTGTATGTATTCATAAACTTATTTCAGCCATGTAAGCTAAAAATAAGTGAAATTCTTAACTTTAGTATATTTATTTGTTAACACTTTTTCTAACTTTATATGAAATGTGAAAGGTTTTATTTTGGTTTGGTTTACATTGGGCTGCTAATAACCAGTGTTAGGAATTAAGTTAGGGCCCTCTTATTGGGAATCTCACTGTGACTGCCTAAATTTCCCCTGCTGTAACCTTACATCTTTATAGGTTGTCAACCCATTTTAGTGATCTTCAGATTCTTGAATCTGAAAATATTTTTGGGTTTCCAGATTCAATTGCTGCCTTTCATAGAGGGTTTAATTTTAATGAAATGTATTAATTTGAGCATCTCTCCCATTTTTCTACTCTAAACGGATAGTCATTTTACCCTAACTACTTTCATGGAGAGGGCTTTATTTTAAAAATAAAGATTTCCATTATCAGGATGACCTTATAAGTTACTTTAATTGCCTTATTTCATTAGTTGTCATTTTATTTTGTACTAAGTTGGTAAACTTATTGTGGTTTAGGAGTTTTTGTATTGTCCACTTAAAATAAAGAATTACATAATTAAAATTTTTCTTACATTCATTAATAAACTTTATACATATAACTTAATTCTGTAAACTGATGAATAAATTTAACATTTTGACCAATTCCTTAAACTGTTAAAATATTGCAAATATAAATGATTTAAAATGAGTATTTCTAGATAAATATAAAATAATTGCTTGTAAAAACATAACCGCACCCAGTTATCAAACCTAGAGAAGTTTTTAAATAGCGTAACTGTAAATGTAGGTGATTATTACTCTATATTCTCTTACTTTAGAAATACTTGAATATGAACTATGTTAAACTTTATCTTTTAAGAAAGCTTATTTTTAACATAACTTTTAGTATGGAGGGTTTGTAAATACTGTAAAGTTTTTGAAATTGTATTTGAAATGTCTGTATTTAATTACTGCTTTTATAACATTGTAAAATACTAGAAAATGGACTTCAAGTATTTTTAATATCTTTCAAAAATTTTGTGTAGCTTTTATTTTAAATGTATTATTTGAAACATAAACATATTTCTGATATTTAACAGCAGTCTCATAGATTTGTATTTTCAACTCAGATGAGTTGCAACATCTAATTTTGGCTCTTTTTAAAGTACTATTCAGTTGAAACCACCTGAATTGTCATAGTACTAACAAACTAGAACTGTTTTTGTTGATTCAACACTCCAAATATAGATTTGAATACATAATTACTAACTAATCATTCACATGTAAAATTTTTACTGCTAGGGTATCTAATTTTTATAGATGTTTTCTTCTGGTTATAAAATTATAACTTCTGAAATAATGCAACCAATAATTGTTATAATGTTCAAAACACATATCTTCAGACTGTTCTATTTTTCTGTGAAATCAGTTTTTTTCTGGTTCGTCATTTTTTTTAAAGATAAACTGATTTTTAAGTTAACATGGTTGGACTTTTCTGTGCATTTATGAACATGTGCATTCATAAACATTCTGTGCATTTCCCCCATGTTGATTATTATTTTATGAGAAATGTAAGTCAACTTAAAGTTCAGGGTACTTGGAATATCACTAATCATAAAGTGTTATCACTGGAGGCTCCTAAGAATGTAACTGTAGTGAAGTCTAAAGCTGGGCTCCTATTGGAGTTGGCAAACTTTCTGTAAAGACCCAGATAGTAAATAATTTGGTCTTCGTGGACCATAGGGTCTTTGTAACAAACTACTCAACTCTGCCACTGGTTAAAGAAGTAAAGCAGCCCTAAATGGTATGTGAATGAATGGCATGTTTGTGTTCCAATAAAACTTTATTGATATTGAAGCTTGGATTTCATATAATTCTCATATGAAATTTTTAAATTTTTTTCAACCATTTTAAAATGTAAAAATCATTCTTAGCTCACAGGCCTGAGTAGTGGCCTAGATTTGGCCCATTGGCCATTGTTTGATGACCCTTGTCCTGGAACATAATTTACATTAAGTAACCTCAATGACTCTAAATATCCTGTAGTCTCTGAATGTATTCCCATGCCATTTAGGGACTAGATAGCGTGGAGAAGAAGTTTCTATTGCAAATTTTCAGGTTAATGGACTCCTAATGACTTCCTCACAATTGCTAGTCAGCTAGTTAATTTCAAATGATTATTAAAATAATCATTTGGTTTATATGAAATTAAGTTTTTGAAATTTATAAAGGAATCTATCAGATTAAAATCACATTAATGTTATTCTTTGAATGTCTTTGTTTTTGTCTTAGCAAGTTTGCCAACTTTTCTTGGTGCCCCATTCATCCTTTAGCCTTACCCGTTTCCCCTTTTACCCACTTAGCCTTCAGGTGTGGGTAACTGTAAGCAGCCACTGTACTAGAGATGGCACAGTTCAGTGGTAGGCATAATTTCTTATTCATCAGCTATAGAAAAGATTCAACCCTCACACTGCCACCATTTTTGTATACCATTTATAGTCAGTCATGTCACAACACTAGGACTTTACTGCCTCCCCTCTATCAGAATTTTCAGAATATCTGGGGCGCCTGGGTGGCGCAGTCGGTTAAGCGGCCGACCTCAGCCAGGTCACGATCTCGCGGTCCGTGAGTTCGAGCCCCGCGTCGGGCTCTGGGCTGATGGCTCAGAGCCTGGAGCCTGTTTCTGATTCTGTGTCTCCCTCTCTCTCTGCCCCTCCCCCGTTCATGCTCTGTCTCTCTCTGTCCCAAAAAAAATAAATAAACATTAAAAAAAAAAAAAAAAATTTAAAAAAGAATTTTCAGAATATCTAATAGTTGTACTGGGCTCAGATTTTAGGCTCAGAAAGGTAGTAAGGATTATAAATCTGTGTGTGTAACCTCCCATTAAGCTACATGGTAACTGTTAATCCTCTCAAAATAATACTATCAAGTAATTTGTTTAAACAAATGCAAAATCCAAATCAGACCAAATTTAATTATGTAATAAACGTTTATTGGACAAAATTATTAGCAAGCAGCAGAAAAATCGTTCACATTTGGTATGCTCAATGAAATCCCAGTTCTGTGTTTCTTTAGATGCTTCAACCTTTGCATAAAAGGTTCTCTCCATGCAGATGCAACAATATCCTGAAGGTGTAATTATTAACCTCATAGTCAGCAACAGGCAATTAAAATCCCCCAAAACCAGTCCCAGATTTCACTCTTAACTGCCATTCTAAAAGGGAGAGGATGTAGAGTTTACCAGATCTATGCTTTGTTTCTAAGGGAAGGGAATATCCTCAAAATACTGAGGCAATACACATGTATCAGATGTCACCAATTTCAACAAGAGCCCATTTCTAACGTTACATAAAGGAGTATCTGTTAGATAATAGGAATGGCTTCTGAAGGGCTTAGTAGCTGTTTTGGGAGTGTGACTTTCTGATTAAATAAAATTCTGATCCTCCTAGAATGTACATTCTTGTTAACATTTAGATAAGTAAGAGAATGTAAGCTCCATGAAGGCAAGGATTTTTTTTGTCTGTTTTGCTCACCGCTTTACCTGGCCCAGAGTTAAGTGCTCAAATATTTGTTGAAATGAGTAAATATGCTGACTTTGCTGATGTATTTAATGTACAAACATTTTTAAAAAACATGTTCAGGCCACAAGCATTCTTAATGCAACCACAACAACAAAAAATAGGTTGGAAACACAGTCTTATTTTAGGGAAGTTCAAAAGCCTAAAAGGGAATGAATGGCAGGAAGCATCCAGCTGAGAGGACATGCACTCTAGATTTCCAATGTTGGATATTACATACTTTCCCTGCACTTGTATCAAACTGGCAACCATAACAGAGGACCACTTAATCTAAAATTAAACTGGTACTTACAGCCAATATATCGTGGGCCTGCATTTTCTGTACAGCTCTTAACTCCTTTTTCTCAAAACCCTTCTTCCCTTGCTTTTCAGTAATTTATTTTTAAATACTTCACCTTAATATTTCATCATTTTTGCATCATATGAAACCCTAGCTAACCCTGAAGATGTTATAGGCTAGACAGTACTGTATTTCTTAATGGATACAATAAACCCTTACATATAAATATTTCAATATTCAGCCCCTGTAAAGCCATCAGATGTTTAAAAAGTTTTTAAACATCAATCAGAGTCTAGTTTAAGAACTCAGCTATATGAATGGGTGAGATCATCACCCATTTTATGTAGTCCCCAAAATGAAGAGTATGTAAAATGAAAGAAAAGTCGCTTAGAGTTTGAAGTTCTGTTGCACAATCCTTTCTTCTCCAAGAGGTTTGTAGTCATTTTCAGAATTCACTCCAGGAACCAAC